ATTTTATATCTCCAAGTAGCCAAGACGTCTCCCTTTTTGCTAACCATGGTTAGCTTGTAGCCCCAGCCTCCAGCAGCTCCTGGGTGCTGTTCCATCTCGCCATCTCAGACAGTCACGGTCTGGCGATGTCTAATGGCTCCTTCAGTGAACAGCGATTGGGGCCCCAGTTCTTTGGTGGTTAGATTCAGGTTAGCAGAGCTGGATTAGCTCTTCTTTGTCTCTGCTACAGCAGGCTTTAGGGAACATTGTGTCCAACACGGTTTGAATCACAGGAAGATTAAAAACACTGCATTCAGCTCCTTTTGAAGTGCAGGAAAAAGGCAGTCTGACTCGGTCCAGCGAGCGCAGACTTCTGAAAGATTTGGTTGCTACTTAGCTTAGCCTTTAGCTGGAAGCGCATTGTCTTGCATTTAGCGGCATTGAACCACCGGCAAAATAGAACGTTGAAACAGGAAGCTGGCCCATTTAAAACCTCCACCGAAGGGGTGTGTCTTCAGAGGGTACTAGTACAGGTTACGTCAGTGACACTTGATCACAGCAACAGAAATTCACATCAGATTCGATCCATGTTGTTTTAAGTTTTCCTCCATTTTCCTTCCATGTCACAGTTACTTCAAACGTCCGTGATATGGTAAGATATTGGAAAATTAACAATGTTCGGTCTTACTAAATTCTACTCTTCCGGAGCTTGTATAAAGTATATTGTTTTATGTTCATAGGCTGGTGCATCCTAAATGTATCCTAACTTGTCTTTATGCTATGTCTTTCCATTCACCATATTTCCTATTAAAAACACAGATAACATAGGCCCTGGTTGCATGTTTTCAGTAGCCTTCCAAACTTTTCTCCCCATTTGGAATCTTTGATGAAATGTTGCCTCACTCCCTCGAAATAAGATCGACTGTTTGAGACTTTGCACCATTTCATTTACAGAACATACTGAACATGCTTAAAACTTGAGTTTCTGTGGATTAAACTACAAGTAGGACATAATAATAGAAACTTCTAGCATGCTAATCTTTTCACCCCTATCCCAAATCAATCCTATAAGTCTAAATGAGTAAAAAGCAAATACTTTGCTGTATACTTTTGAATCAATGTAAATGGGATACAAGTACATAACTTAATATTTTTACTAAAACAATATTAAGGAGCACTGATGCTATCCTCGCATTTTGGTATCTTTTCTGTTGACAGAGACCCATATGGCTTTGCTCTTTCTGTCTTTCTTCCTTCCTTTCTTTCTCTTCCTGTCCTCCACGCTTCAGTGTGTTTTGATTACTGGCCGTGTGTGAGCATGTCTGCAGTTGAAAATAGAGCAGGATGAACATTTTTTGGGGAAAGGGATCACAGATGGGCCTTGTCAAATCTCCTTACATCTGCAGCCCCACCCCACACATACACAAACACACACACTTTTCATTTGAATGTCTATCCCTCACATTTTTAATGTATTGTTTTATTATGGACATTTTTTTCATGCAAATGTCCATAGTTTGTTGTGGACTTGAAACGTATTGGACACACATACATTATTGGTTCAGAAGGGCACAGCAGGGATGGACTCCTGTTATGTTTTATGGTTGCCAAAGCTATGAAGCCAGGTAATTTGGACTTTGTCAGTTTTAATTGTGGCCAAAGACATACTACACTATGCAAGGATAACAGAGTGACAGCTCTTGCTTGTAGCATAGCGTGCCCTATTAATAGGAGGGTTGTAGTGACTGGAAATAGTTTTAATCTACAGTAACAATTAATTTTAAGTACAGATTGTTTTTTTGAACAAACACATCTACAATTAAAAATATAGCAAATCTTAAATATGTTAATAAATAATAATAGAGGAACATTTTTACCTGGGTATTCCTGCTTTTTGAAGACAATTTCTCATATTTTAAACTATTATTTTCTCCATTCAAGTGCCAACTTTTCCCTGCATGAAGAAGCTCTGCCGGTGTGTGTCAGGTTCCCAAGGTCTCTGTGCAGACTCTGACATATGCTTCTTAAGATTTCTGTAGACATAGAAACATCCATGCACACACCTCAAGGACACCCATAATGATGGAAACGGATTGGAGGGAAAAAACAGGATACTTGCCAAACATAGTGTGCTGATATGCTTTGACAATTTGATCTATGACCTTTGAATATTTAGAGCTTCACTTGGAGATTTTCTCAACCTCAATAGACAATGGATTCTCAACCAAAACAGCTTCTGTATACAAAAGATATTTTAAATTTGGCACAAAAGTTTTAATTGTTGACCACATCAATGAAAGAAGTGTATATATATATCTATTTATATATATAGTATATATATATATATATATATATATATATATATATATATATATATATATATATATATATATATATATATATATATATATATATATATATATATATATATATATATATTAGGGGTGGAACGGTTCACAAAATCCACGGTTCGGTTCAATTCACGGTTTCGTGGTCACGGTTTTCGGTTCAGTTCGATTCGGTATATGTTGATTGTTACACCGAAATCCCATAAAAATTTATGAAATTAATGAAAAAATCCCCCCAAAAATAATGGATTGTAATTATTTTAAATGATCTGCAGAAACCCTGGATCATTTCCGTATGTTTTGCTGCTTTGAATTTAATGATCTCGCGCATGCTCTCTACCATCTCCAAGGAACTCAGAGGGGAGCGAACGGGAGCCACAATGGGGGCTGTAGGCTTTGCTTTGAGCAGCCGGTCTGGAGCGCAGCGGGGCGGAGCGGGGGTTGCTGACGGAGTATGAGGGATTTTGGGGTTAGCATGACATGTTGGTCATGTTGCTGTTAGCATAAACAAAACATGTTGCACAATGCTTGAACACTGTCGCACTTTTATCCACAACTTTCTTTCCGCCGTCATCGTAGGTCACTCTAAATGCAAAGTGGTCCCATACAGCAGACCTATAAAGTGCTGCTGGCGCGTCTTCCAACTCCTGTTCTTTCCCACTCGCCATTCTCACACAATTCTCCACAACATCTGATTTTTTTCCTTGCTACACTCGGCTACGATGCTTCGCTTCTTCTTCTTCTTGTTTACTACTGGTGGTTGGGTTTGGTTGCTGTACCGCCACCTTCTGCTCTGGAGTGTAAACGCTTCGCCTATGAGAAAAAGTAGCAGCGCATGAACCGAACGAAACACACGCGAATCGAACCGAGACAGTCGAACCGAATGGTTCAGACGGTTTTCATAAATCGTCCCATCCCTAATATATATATATATATATATATATATCCTATTATAAAATGTAAAGTTAATGGTAATATGTATAGAATAGAATAGAAAACCCCTCAACTGTCCCTCACTCAGTCATATTTACCAGACGCAAAGTAATAATATTTATATTATTATATTATTTACTTAATATAAAAAAGAACGCACAAAAATTTGATGTTTTTCCTCTTTACATCGGTAATTCGAAGGTTTTTTGCTTTTTCTGCTGTTGTTATGCAATGGCTTTCAGATAGATCTTTCAGGGCAACCTAGAATAACTCATTTTATACCTTTCAGATCTTCCATATTGCTTACCCCAGGGATCGGTTCTTGGCCCAGTCCTGTTTTTACTTTATAAACCCCTTTTTTTTTCATTATGACTCTCATATTTGTATGCTTATGACATATTTTCTTCTCTAGAACCTTTTATTCTTTACTCTGTCAAGTATTAATGATTACTTGGTTTAGATTAAGAAATAAAATTCTAACTTCTTTCAGAGCAATGAAAAAAAATAAACAGTTATTGGAGAAAAAAAACATGACTTAAGAAAGAATATTAGTTTCACATAATGTTTTGTTTAGTTTTACCTCAAAAATCGGGAGTGATTTTCAATAGTTTTATGTACCTTGTAAAATAATGCAACAAGACTCATAACAGGGATAAGCAGGAGAGCAAATATCACTTGTTTCTTGACTACGCTTTACTGGTTTGTCGTTAATTTAGGTTTAATTTTAAACTACTTTTTTACCTGTTAAGCCCCTGCATGGCCATGCTCCCACATATGTCACCAATATGCTTAAATCTCAGTCTACCTCCAGAGCTCTGAGGTTCACTATTAAGACTACCTTTAGTCCCATGTACACTGTTTAAGAACAATGAGGAGTGCCCATTCAGGATGTTGCATCTGGGCTGGGTAATTATTTTCTATTTCTTTCACCTATTGTTTACCCCACTGATGATTTCATAGTGGAGCTAATTGCAGGTTTTAGATACATAATTTGTTATGTTTGCTGCACACATGGTGTTGGAGACAAAACAGTTATCTTATTTTAACCTGAGTTTCTTTTGTCTCCCACCACCTACGCTGGGTCAAGGGGGGATCCTAGAGGTGGCCACCCTAAAGAGCTTATATAATCGCCTCTATGGTGGAGCCATCAGAAAGCTTTTGTAGATGGTAGCCTTGGGAGTTGGCATATAAGTAGTGCAGAGGGTAAACGGGAATAGTGTGAGCATGGCTCCCTAAGGGGTCCCTATACTGCAGGCAAACCTATCAAAGACATATCCCTGTGTCCTCACATACCGTGGATGGACAGTGAGGTAGTCCAGTACCCACTGGAACAGATGAAGGTCGCTCCTTACAGCTCCAGGTTGTTCCTGAGAATACCAGATTGGGTTTTATTAAAAGTACTGGAGAAAAAAAAAATAATTTAGTCCTTACAGTGCTTCTAGGGTTTTGTAGGTAGGATTTGGTGCAGGAGATCAATCTTAACACCATTAACTCCAATGTAAGCCTGGAACACACATTGCAGAAGAAAACAAATGAATAAACTGAATAAAAAGGTATATAAAAAAAATGGAATAAGGAGGTGAAAATGGTTAAGGACCAACCTCCAAAGGGTTTTCATCGTGTTACTGGCCTGAGCATTCCCCTTTAAGGAGGGGGCCTCGGGGGGGTGAAGAAGGGGGTGACGTAGCCAGCACGTACATGTATGTTTTGGTTGTTTTTCTCTGCGTGTGAGAAATAATCCAGGTTCTGCAGCTGTTAGAAGTAAGGCAGTTTTGTGAGAATAAGTTCGGCTCCACAGCCATAAAAAGTACTGCTGTTTGTAACGAGGAATAGTGCTGAATAAAGCCGGTCCGTGGATTCTACTACTCCGCCTCTGCTCCTCTGTGTGTGCATGCAATAAGCCCGGACGGCTAGTTACCGGCCGCAACGAGCCAAGCTAAGTTCGGACCAGACTTAGCTTTATTAACCAGCAGTTCCGAACCACGGAGAGGAGCCATAGAGCTGGGAAGGTAACAATCGGATGCAAGGTCAGTGGTATTGGCCTGTAGCTCCTAATGTCCTGTGAATGTGTGGTCTTTGGCACTAATACCATACAGGAGATGTTCTACAGTTGTGCTTCCCAATCCAGCTTCAGGCTCCTATTGAACATGAGCTGTAGAGCTGATGCCATTCAAACCTACAGATCCTTCATCTTTTGCAGCTTGATCCAAACCTTAGATGTTGGATGTTTGAAGGAAAAGAGCGATGGTCAGGGAGTACGGGTGTGAGACAGAGACCACAAAATTAAAGTGGAAAGTTGATGGCCATCTATTTTTTCTCTGGAATAAAATAGAAAATGACCTCTTCGGCCCCCCAGAATCCCACACATCTCCCAGACTTTTGACCTGAAACTTTCTCAGGTTGTTTTAAACACCAGTGATATTCTTCTGTTGCAGCCAGTTCTTCCAACTCCTTTCTCTCTCTCTCTCTCTCTCTCTCTCTCTCTCTCTCTCTCTCTCTCTCTCTCTCTCTCTCTCTCTCTCTCTCTCTCTCATTTTTTTGTCACTAATTTTTTTTTATTTTTATTTTCTAGTTATTTGTGCACATCTCTCAGCTCCCCCATGCTTCCTTATCTAAAGACTCTCTTCTTCTCAGGAGGAGACTAAACTAAAAAAAAGAAAATTGTTAAACTCAACATGATTATTCAATCACGTTTCAAGAACACTGGGTGTTATACTGTAAATGTCTAACTTAATGAAAATCTTTTAACCTCCTGTATGTTTTTTTTTGTTTTGGTTTTCCATGTCAGCAGTCATCTTAAATTTCACTCAAAAGTTTTATTCATATCCCATCTATTAAAAAGCTGTGGACTAGAGTGCCATATTTGGTGAGTCAGGCGCAGCCATTGTGTGTAACATAAAAATCCTAAAACCACCACCAGTCATCCAAACCGACATCTTTGTGCAAATTTTTGCAGATGTTTTAGGATCCTTTCTTCTTTCTCACCCATTTGCTGTCTCCTATTGTTTGCTTGCTATCCACTGCTCCCTTTGCTTATCTCCCCAGCTTTAAACTTATCCCAATGTGTCCATGCACCGTAACCAACCTTAAACTGCATACTCATTTTTACATGGAGGTGTCATTTTATTTCACTGCTCTTGTTTTTGGTGTAGTCTCTTCAGTATGAGCTGCCCCAGACAGCGGTATTCTGTCCCACCCTCATTATATTTTCACACTCGGTTTCCCAAGGACATGAAAATACAGTCACGCACTTTTCCACACAAACTCCCGACTCAGCATGTGCTTTTTGTTTCTTTTACTATAGTTTAAGATAACAGATACGGCATTTAATGTTAAATTTGATAAAGCTGTTAAAAGATATTTAAATATATCTTAACAGAACATTAGGATTTCATAAATACACTAAACACATGAATTTACACAACATTAGCCACATAGTGTATAGCTGGCTGTAAAAAGGAAGTGACTATTGAAAAGTGTACGTTTTCTAAACTGAATATTGGGTTGATGCAGAGAAAATCAGTATGTGAATAATGCCAGTTTAATCGGTATAGTACATTTTAAATAAAAATAATACAATTATATGATATCTTTGTTTAAATCTTAGAGCTTCTGAACCGTTCGGTTAGTAGCCTAAATCCTATTTGTGGAATCATCTTGCAACGAAATAACCTTATATTGTCTGTAGCATATTTTTACTGGTTTCCAGTACTTAATCATGTCAGATATTCTGTATTAATAAGGTTAATTAATATTAATATTTTTTTATACAACTGCATAAAGTCTCTTAACAAGTGGTTTGGGGCTCTCAAAATTGACACGAGGACACGAATAGATACATTAAAGTACTACAGCACGAATACATAGCCTAGTTTTTAAATATAAATTTGTCTTATACCTTGTCTTGGACCTTGTAGTTGATGGTTGGATCCTGGGGTGGTGGAGGGACTAAAAATCTACAGACAGCATGCAGACAGAGGAAGCAGCAGAGCAAAATGATAAAGGGAGCGTGCAGGTTATGAAGGCCACCCACATTGATAGGAAATGTTTGAGAAGATCATATGTAAAGTAGCCAGAAGAGCTCGACTTTTCATAGCTAGCTGTCAGGCATTCAATCCTATTCTCCTCTTACAGAGCCAATCATTATTAGTATTACAAGAACACCAGAAGCACCCCCTCCAGATGCTTGCTAAAAACCGGATACATACAAATATACATAATAATCAAAACAAGTTTTTATTTTTTTAAAACATACAAATAAAACATTTCTTTTTTTTTAGTATGGAGTAAATTAACAGAGCTATTTGGTGTACTTTGGAAACATTTTCTAAAACTGGAAGCTAATGAGCTCCGTATCATTAATAAACTGCCAAAAGCAAACACAGATTTTTTTTTTTACATGTGGGGTATTTATGTATGAAAATGGTGAATCAGTGTAAGCTGTGATGCTTACTCAATATTTCATAGACACAACTGTAAGCTGGTGTTTATATCAAGATTTATCCATGGAAAATAAAAAAAAGTGTTAAGACACATTATATATCATGGCCGTTTTCTTTGTCAGTGGGTAGAAAGGCATGTGTGGAAAAAGCTGATGGATCTGCGCATGCATTTATATCGGAGTGTGAATAAACTAAAGATTAATTGAAATGGTCATTCAAGATAATTTTCTTAAACTGTCAATTTTATTTAAATTGATTATTTTGCTGCTTTAGTTAACAGAAAATATGCAAAAACATAATTCTAGATTTGACCCTTTACCTTTTAATATAATAATGACAATAATATATTCCCTATTTCTTCTTTTTCTGTCTTTCCTCCATCAATTTCTCTCCTCAGTGTCTGACAGCCCGTTGGAAGCAGCAGGAGGTGGACCAGGCACAGGGCCGGACTTTTCCCAGCCTCGTTTCTCCTCCTCCCTCCCGACCTATCTCCCAGTCCAATGCCAGCTAAGTGGAGCTGACTCCGCCTTCTTTCTGCGGGAAGCTAATCAGGAGGTCATGAGAAATGGCAGTCTGTCATCGTGGACTGAGCCCTTCTTTGTTCACAAGGTGGAGATAGGTATGGCTGCTCCACAGTCTCTCCCGAGTGTGAACTGCAGCTACGGAAATCTGAGCACTGAGCAGCCAATCCCAATAGAGCTACTTCAAGGACCTCAGCCACACCTGCTGACCTCAATCAACCAGGTGACGATGAATTGGAGGGTCAAAGGTCAGGTAGTGGTCCCTAAAGTGGGATCAACAAGACCATGGATTCAGGTATAAACATTTTATTTTTAAAATATTGATTTATATAAGATTTTCAAGATATATCCATTGTTGAGAATATGAGAACAAAAGTTATCTTATTGGTAGCGTAAGAGGCATCTGTGGAGTATATCAGATTTCCATTTAATGAGTAATGCAGTAAAATGCGGTTAGCAGACATTTCAAATATAAAACAGAAAACAGACTTGTCAAGATTTTGGTTTTAAAACCTAAACTTTCTAACTACTTTCTCCTCTGCTCAGAATAATCCAAGGAAACCTAAAAAGAAAGCTGTATGTTAGTAAAATGTAACAAAGCTATACAACAAGATAATGGTTATTTTTTGACTTAACTCTATTGGCATTATAAAACAGTGGCTTTAAAACAATAACAATAATGCACTTCTAACAATAAGTGAGTGTTACGGTTTCCTTCACCTTATTCTGGATTATCTCAAGGTGTTACCAGGAGAACCAGAAGCATGGTGGGAGCTAAACCCATTAATTCTTGCTCAAAGCACTCCTACCACTATCTCTTGAAATTTAATTTAGGCTTCAAGTGATTGAAAATCTTTCCCCAGGACACTGGATAATCCACTAAGACCCTTTTCTATCTTAAATTGGGATTCCTGCAATGTAAATATACTATATTTAATGCACGCATACATTGTGAAAGGAATTGAAAATCTTGCATCAGATTTCATTTAATGCTACTAAGGAAAAACTAAGAATTTAAAACATTTTTGTGGTTTTGGTTTTTAATTCTTTCTTTAAGGCTGACTCTAGCCACTCAACTGAGGAAGTAGTAGCCTTTCCTGGAGAAGCCACAAAGGTCACCGGTTTAAAACTCTGGTTGTCATTCTGGGTCCTTCAAAAAGGTTAACCCTAGATTGCTCCCTATGCACTATTTAGTTTGGAGCACACAATAGATGTGTTATTGGCAGAAGGCAAATATCCCTATAGGACTATTGAGGAACCTTCCTTTCGATCTCAGGCTACAGGGATAAGGTTTTAGATAGACGTCTAAATTCAAAGCTTCAATTTTTGTCTCAGTTGCTATTACATTGACAGAATTGATTAGCACTAGTTAGCATTAGTTTTTGGCATATTTAGTTAATTAGTTAATCATATTTAGTTATTTTAACACAATTGTTTCATGTTAGCAGGGTAGGAAATAAAACAATTGTGTTAAAGTAACTAAATATGATTAAATAAATGCCAAAAAATGGTTGCATTGTTTTTTTCAGTGTGCAGTCAAAGTTCTGGTCTGCTTATTTATCACATGTAACCTTCCCCGATCATGAATAACACCCCAATGTACTTTTAGTGTTGCACTAAAAGGTCCAAAATTATTTTATATGTGTAAACAGAAAATACTAACAATCAAGCCCCCAGAGCATATATTTGCTGTTTGTGCTGGAAAATTCCTCTCAGAGTAGGCAGACATCATGTACCAGAAACCTCCTCATTCATCTCTCTTCTAGACGTGCTGTTTTGCTTTCCAACCATTAAGGTTGTGCCCCCACAAAACGCAACCGTGACAATTTAGAGTTTTTAAAGATGACAGCTACAGTCGGAGTGCGGAATAATATTTAAGATAAAGTTTTGAGCTTTAGCAATGGGTTACTACAGACCGTTCTGGGCAGCCTATGACTGTCAACAACGCACAACAGGTGCAGAATGACGTGATAGGACTGTATACATCCTTTCGATAAACAAACAAACATGTACACCCGTACCTCACATTTAACCTGAGCTACGGCATCTATCTGCTGTGATGAACTAAATGGGTTGTTGGTTACCAAAGCTTAGAAGTATGATCCCCCTATAGTTTGTACACATCCTCTAGTTCACATTCTTGTGGATGGGACTACCAATCTAGTCTGCCAGTGCAGGGACAAGAAGACTTCCTGAGACCTAAGGCACTCATGGCAGATGTCATCCATCTCTGAAGCCTTAGAAATTTTGATTTTTGACCACTTCAGTGACTCAGAGGATGCAGTCTGTGCTTTAACCATAGTAGGCATGACAGACAGATCGAGGAGCTCCTCAAGGTATTCCTACCACTATTCAACCAATCTCCACACTCTTTTTTTAAACAGAGTTAGTGAAACATTGCTTCTCCCTATGAAGATGACTGAGAGTATTTTTCAAAGCGAGACACCATCACCATGTAAAATGGTTTCCAAAAAATAGTTTTAAGTCCTTCTATTTTGTTAAGATATTTAATTTTCCTGTATTTTTGTTTTGATTTATTTGTTAATGATTTATTGTACTTGTTCTGATGCTTCATGCATTTATTCCCCCTAGGTACTGTTTTATCTGATTGGGCGGCGCTGGGATGAGCCTGACCCCCTTCCTACATCAAGTCTCCCATGTATCCGCGCCTTGGCTGTACGTGACCCCAGTGAAACAGCACCTTCAGCAGGCTGTCGTCTTATGGGACCATCTGGAATCTGTGTGGTCCGTCTGGAAATTCCGCCGGCTTGGTTTACATCATCACAAGTGAGAAAAAGACCTTCTGAAGTGTCTCTACAATCAGTGGATGTGTTCTACTCCATCATACCAGTAGAAGGGACTGGCAGAGACTGTCCCTCTATTGTAAATGAGCCATGGAAAGCTCAAAGTTCGAATGTCGGACCCCTTGGAGGCCTGGGTATTGGTCTTGGAGGACAGTGGAGTAGCCTGGAAGATGGAGGTCTTCAGGACATGCTAAAAGCTGGCACCGTAGAGATGAGCCCAGGCCCGGTTTCTGCCAAGGGAGAAAGATTGCCATTAGATGAAAATTTGGAGGTTCTTGTCCCGCCTAGTCCGGTCCGGCTTGGCAAAACAGTGGCATTTGGCATCTACATGAACACAGATTCAAACCTGGAACAGTTCACATTGAGGTAGGGTCATCGATCTTTTGTGAAAATGTTTTTTTTTTTTTTTTTACATTTGTTTTAGAATTTTGTTTTACTTTTTGGCTAATTTAGTTTCTATATCTGTGTGGTTTCTTTTCCACTGTCTCAGCCTACACCTCACCTGCATATGTGCAATGTTTTACTTCTCAACTCTAACTCCTCCTGGAATTGATGGTTGTCACCTTTGTTTGTTCTACAAGTCAGCAACACAGTGTTGTGATAAGTATTTTTGGCAAATTGTACAGAAAAGGAGACACAGAATAGTAATACAGAAAAGGAAATCGGGACTGATTGAAAACTAGGAAATAAACAAAAAACAGAAAAAAGTTTGTAAGATTAGATAGAATATAGGATTCAGAAATGGGAAGGTGTTACCCTAAAGGGGCTTAGGTGCACTTTAAAAATTCAGAGTACGCAAGGTTATGACTGGGGCCTAATGTTTTTTCTTTTTTTTTTTATGAGCCCTGTGCCATCACAAAGCTCATTCTTTCTCTGAGACAATAAGTGTACAACCACTGATATAGAATAAGCATGCATATCTTATTCCATCTCTGCATAATTTCAATGACTTCAGGGATTTCAGGCTGTCAAATGACAGATGAGCAAATGCATCATTCTATGCATAAAACAGCCTCTGGCCTGATATATCCCACCATAGACATAAGAATGCTCTTTGTGAGGTAAGTCCCATTTATGGTGGTTGCCTCAGACAACTTTCCATTTGTTAACATAATTTCATAAATTTAGAGTTTTATTTTTCCTACAGATGCATACAGTCTTAAGGGAAACCGTTGCATATTTTGGATAAGAGGTGCTTTACACCTTGAGTGGGACAAGAAAGTCTCATGAAATATGTTTTTAAGCACACACACACACACAGACACACACACGTGTCACAATATCCTTGTGGGGACCTTCCATTGACTTCCATTCATTTCCCACTAATTTATATGGCCTAACCATGACCCTTGCCCTAACCCTAACCATTACCGACACATACCTATCCCTAAACCTAACCTAAACTCAATTCACACCTTAGTCCTAAACCTAACCCCCACCCCAAGAAGAGAAAGTTTCCTTGTGGGGACCAGTTGTTGGTCCCCACAAGTACCTCTGAGTCCCCAAAATGTAGCATATTCCTAGGAAATTGTCCCCACCAGGTATTAAAGACATGGCCACACATACACACACACACACCTACACACACACACACACACACACATACACACACTCAAGTTAATTATAACAAAATCGTACCCGTGTTGAACAAATTATAATTTGAGCTTTATTTCACGTTTTTTTCAATAATATATAGTCATATAGTTTAATCAACATATTTTTGTACGTTGTAGAAAATAAAGTGATATAAATAGTAAATGGAGGGGAATTATAGTGATAGAAAACAAAACTAATCAAGGAAAGAACAAGGGTGGTCCAAATTTGTATAAAACAATATGTGTCCTTTAAGCATTGGGTTGCCAGTTAAAATCTACACCTCTGTCTGTCTTAATCATTGTGCTCTTGGTGGCCTGATATGCGGTTATGCATTCTATGGCAACCCAAAAGTACATTGGATCTGCAGCTTAAGCAAACAGATTATCCCAGATTCTTTTTTAGGGTAGATAACCCGTTTATTGAAATGCAGCGGTCCTCCTGATACTAAAGACACAAAGCTGTCATGATCGGTACACGAATGTGACCCAATATGCAGAACACCACGACACAGGAAACAGATGAAAAGTTAACAGAGTTTATTGAATACAATCCAATGATAGTTTGTTCTGGTCCTGGGCAAACGGGTTCACCGGAGTCTGTGAGGAAGACAGTTAGTTAGCTGGGCTCTTAGCGGTTTTGTCCTTTGATAGTCTCTGGTTTGTACCTTGTGGGTCCTTGAATGGATCTTGGAGAGGAAGGTTGTTGGAACTGGAGAGAGTCTGATTAGCTGAGTCCGTTAGCTGCTTCAGCGTCTTGCTTCTAGAAAGGTAGCAGACCTTGACTTGGATTTCCAGCTCTCGGTCCAGAGCTGCAGGAGAATCCAGGGGAAGTCTTCAGGTTTGGCTCTGAGGGCAGGCTCGGTGGGTTAAGCTCTTCCAGAGCTTCACGTAGGAGGATCAGGTTTTCCTGGAAAAACAGAGACAAGATTAGGATCCTGTCAGGATCTCAGAGCAAGCAAAGTTCTCAGAGGTTCAGGGCTTAGGTGCTAACCAACTGGCTCAACACTGCGGCGTTGAGGCAAGGTCTGAAGACAGCTTAAGTAGAGGGTCCTCCTGATGATGGTAACGAGCAGCAGCTGTGCAGAGGGCTCTGCTCAGGAGGATCCACGGCGGACTCTGCTGGAGAAGAGAGGTACTTCTTCGAGGATGTAAGAGCCGGGAACCCACTGACGGTCTTCAGGTCCGTAGCCCTCCCAGTCGACGAGGTACTGCCAGCCGCGACCTCGCCGACGGGAGTCCACGATGCGACAGACGGTAAAAGCCGGGTGGCCATCGACTTCCAGGGCGGGTGGTGGGGAGTCGGATGGCGGGCACAGAGGGCTAGAGACTACGGGCTTGACCTGAGAAACATGAAAGGTGGGGTGGATGCGAAGACTCGGAGGTAACTGGAGACGGACTGCGGAGGGACTGATGACCTGGGAAACCTTAAATGGACCGATGAATCTGGGAGACAGTTTCCGAGACATTCCCCTCAAGGGAATGTCTCGGGTGGACAGCCATACCTCCTGTCCGATGGCGTACTCTGGAGCGGGACGTCTCCTGGAGTCGGCAAAAAGTTTGGTGGTCTCTGATGATTTGTTGAGGGTGGTGATGGTTTCTTTCCAAATCCTTTGACAGCGACGGATGTGTTGGTTGATGGTCTTGACTGCTATCTCCTTTTCATCTGCGGGGAAAAGTGGTGGTTGGTATCCATGACTGACCTGAAATGGTGACTGGCCGGTGGAAGCTGATCTCTGGGAGTTATGGGCGTACTCGATCCAAGGTAGATACTGGCTCCGGTCGGTGGGGTTGTTGGAAGTTAGGCAGCGGAGGGTGGATTCTAGGTGCTGATTCATGCGCTCGGTCTGACCGTTGGATTGTGGATGATAACCTGAAGTCAAGGCAGACTTACAGCCCAGAGCTGAACAGAAGGCCTTCCAAACTTGTGAAACGAATTGAGGACCACGGTCTGATAGGATTTCCTGGGGAATGCCATGTAATCTGAAGACGTGTTTCACGAGAAGCTGAGCAGTCTGGAACGCCGAGGGGAGCTTCCTGAGAGGGACTAAATGACAGGACTTGGAAAAACGATCAACGATGGTGAGTATTGTGGACATACCTCGAGAGATGGGGAGACCAGTGACGAAATCTATAGCAATGTGGGACCATGGACGTGAAGGAATTGGAAGAGGTTGTAACAGACCAGAGGGTGGCTGATGCGAGGCCTTGTTTCTAGCACAAATGGGGCAGGCCAGCACATATTCCCTTACGTCCCTGTGGAGAGTGGGCCACCAGAAGCGTCTGGTGATGAGAGCGATGGTTCTACTGACTCCAGGGTGGGCCGAGAATTTGGCAGTGTGCATCCATTGAATGAGCCTGGACCTGACGGAAGACGGAACATAAGTTCTGTTAGCCGGACCGTTACCTGGGTCGGGTTCCGTGGCCAGGGCGGAGTTAATAAGATCGGAGATCTCCCAGTTCACGACTCCCACAGTACAAGAGGCCGGGAGGACTGGCTCTGGTGTCTCGGGTTGATCGACGGAGTATAGGCGCGAGAGGGAGTCTGGTTTCACATTCTTTGATCCGGGTCTGTAGGAGATAACGAGATTAAATCTGGAGAAGAAAATGGACCACCTGGATTGACGAGGGTTGGCCTGTTTGGCAGACTGGATGCTAGCAAGGTCCTTGTGATCAGTCCAGACTAGAACCGGGTGCTCAGCTCCCTCTAACCAGTGTCTCCACTCCTCCAACGCCAATTTGATGGCTAATAGTTCTCGATCTCCAACGCCGTAGTTCTGTTCTGCTGATGAGAGTCTGCGAGAGAAAAAAGCACATGGATGAATCTTTAGATCTGAGTCGAGTCTCTGGGAAAGGACGGCGCCAACGCCAGAATCCGAAGCATCGACCTCCAGGATGAACTGTTTGGAAGGGTCAGGCTGAATTAACACCGGTGCTCTGGAAAACAAAGATTTCAGTTTGTCAAAAGCAGACTGAGCTTCGGGAGTCCATTGAAAATTCCTCTTAACTGAAGTTAAAGAGGTCAGAGGTTGAGCCGTCTGGCTATAATTTCTAATGAAACGACGGTAAAAATTGGCGAACCCCAAAAACCTTTGAAGCTGTTTTCGATTTTCAGGAATCGGCCAGTCCAAAACCGCCTTTATCTTGTCCTCAGCAGGCTTAACCTGCCCGCCCTCGAGCACAAACCCCAAAAAGGTCACTGATGGTTGGTGGAACTCACACTTTTCTGCCTTGACAAATAACTTGTTCTCCAGTAGCCTCTGTAACACCAGGCGGACATGCTTCTTGTGATCAGTTAAGTTCCGTGAATAAATGAGTATGTCGTCTATATAGACAAAGACAAACACATTTAAAAAGTCTCTGAGAACATCATTCACTAGTGCTTGAAAGCAGGCGGGGGCGTTTGTTAAACCAAAAGGCATTACCAGGTACTCAAACTGACCTAATGGTGTCTTGAAAGCAGTCTTCCATTCATCTCCTTCTCTGATTCTGAGGAGATGATATGCGTTTCTCAGATCCAGTTTGGTGAAGACTGTTGCCCCCTGAACAGGTTCAAAAGCAGAGGCTAGGAGAGGTAGAGGGTACTTATTCTTTATGGTGATTTGGTTCAACCCTCTGTAGTCAATGCATGGTCTTAATGAACCATCCTTCTTGCCAACAAAAAAGAAACCAGCACCCAAAGGAGAAGATGACGGGCGAATAATTCCAGCAGCTAAAGACTCGTTAATATACTTCTCCATTGTCTCTCGTTCTGGCTTGGAAATGTTATATAAGTGGCTGCTGGGTAACGGCGCTCCAGGTAACAACTCAATAGCACAGTCATATGGTCTATGTGGTGGAAGGGACGTAGCACTGACCTTACTGAAAACCAGGGCCAAGTCATGGTACTCAAAGGGAACTGAAGATAGGTCAGGAGAGTCCATCTCTCCCCCACCCCTAGGAGGCCCCACCACGGGGGCTGCCGACCGAAGACAAGTCTCATGACATGACGCAGACCATGCTTCCACGTGACGTTCAGTCCAATTAATGCGTGGATTGTGTTTCTCCAGCCATTCGAATCCATGCACCAACGGGGAACGTGCGGAGGGAATAACAAAAAATGTGATAGTTTCACGATGGTTACCTGAGAGGAGGAGCTCGAGGGGTTGGGTTTGATGAGTAACTTGGTGGAGATTTTTCCCATCAATGGCAGAGACACGGAG